TAAATATTATTAAAAACTAATGGTTCAGAGTAAGGTTGTAGGACATAGTATCCATATACAAAAAAGAATAGTATTTTTAGGCTGGGCACAGTGGCTCACACTTGTAATCTCAGCACTTTGGGAGGCCAAGGTGGGAGGATCACTTGAGACCAGGAGTTTGAGGTCAGCCTCGGCAACATAGCAAAACTCTGTCTACAAAATTAAAAAAAAATACTATTTTTATACACATGCAAAGAACAATCCAAAAATATTAAGAAAATTCTATTTATAGTAATATCAAAAAGAATAAAATACTTACTGATCTAGACATTGACCACAATCTTATCAGAATACCAGCTAGCTTCTTTGGAGAAATTGACAGGTTGATCCTAAAACTCACATGGAAACTCAAGAGATACAGAATAACCAAAACAATCTTGAAAAAGAGGAACAAAGTTGAAGGACTTGCACTTCTTGATTTCAAATCTTATTACAAAGCTACAGTACCACCTAAAGATAGATATATAGAACTGAACAGAATTCAGAGTCCAGAAATAAATCCCTGTAGCTACAGTCATCTGATTTTCAACAAGGGTGCCAAGATCATTCAATGGGGGAAAAATAGTCCTTTTCCTTCCCCTTTCAAATGGTGCTTGGACAACTGAATTTCCACATGCAGAAGAATGAAGTTAGATCCTTATCTCACACCATACCAAAAAAATTAACTCAAATGGAACAAAGACCTCACTGTAGGCCGGGTAGAGTGGCTGTGGTGGCCCACGCCTGTAATCATAGCCCAAAGCGGAAGGATCACTTGAGGTCAGAAGTTCAAGAGCAGCCTGAGCAAGAGAGAGAGACCCCATCTCTACTAAAAATAGAAAAAATTAGCTGGGTATGGTGGCACACCCCGCCTGTAGTCCCAGCTAGTCGGGAGGCTGAGGCCGGAGGATTGCTTGAGCCCAGGAATCTGAGGTTGCTGTGAGCTAGGCTGACACCACAGCACTCTAACCCGGGAAACAGAGTAAGACTCAGTCCCAAAAAAAAAAAAAAAAGACCTAATTGCAAAAGCTAAAACCATAAAACTCTTAGGAGAAAACATGGGGTAAATCTTGTGACCTTGGATTTATCAATGGATTCTTGGTTATGACACCCAAAGCATAAGCAATAAAAGAAAAATAGATTAAATTGGACTTAATCGAAATTAAACTATTATGCTGCAAAGGACACATTAAGAAGGTGAAAACCTACAGAATGGGAGAAAACATTCGCAAATCATATCAAATAAGGGACTTGTATCTATTAATAGAATATATAAAGAATTACAGCAACTTAAAAAGACAACACAATTTAAAAATAGGCAAAGAATTTGAATAGACATTTCTCCAAAGATATACAGATGGCAAAAACAAGCCCATGAAAAGATGCCATTAGTCAGTCACCAGGGAAATGCAAATAAAAACCACAATGAGATACCACTTCCTACCCACTAGGATGGCTAGATTGAAAAGTCAGACGATAACAAGTGTTGGCAAAGATGGGGGCACATCAGAACACTCATACACTGCTGGCAGAAATGTAAAACGGTGCAGCCACTTTGGAAAACAGTCTGGCAGCACCCCAAGAAGTTAAAAACTTGCACACGTATGTTCCGAAGAGCATCATTCATAATAGCCACAGTTGAAAACAACCCAAATGCTCAAACAGATGAACAAAACGTGGTATATCTATACAATGGAATAACAGGCCATACAAAGGAATGAAGTTCCGATACATGCTACCATGTGGATGAACCTTGAAAACATTATGCTCAGTGAAAGAAGCCAATCACAGAAGACCACACATTTATATGAAATGTCCATAATAAGTAAACATACAGCGACAGATTTAGTAGTTGTCTAAGGCTGGGGGAAGATGAAAGGTTGGTGGGGGTGGCAAGAGCTAAATGATATACATTCTTTTTGAGGTGATGAAAATGTGCTACAACTGATCGTAAGGACGGCTGCAGAACTCTGAATGCACTAAAAGCTATTGAACTGTACACCCGTAATGAGTGAATTGTGTGTATGTGAATTTCAGCTCAGTTAAGCTGTTACCAAAAGCAATAATAATTAGCTGGGTGCAGTGGCGTGCACCTGTAGTCCCAGATACTCCGGAGGCTTCAGCGGGAAAACTGAGTTTGAGCACGGTCTAGGCAAAATAACAAGACTCATCTCAAAAAACAAAACAAACCAAAAAAACCCCAAAGCAGTAATAATAATAATTAGAAGCTTTCCATTCATTTCTATGGTCTGGAGTTTTCTTCTTTTGGAGGAGTTGTTGGGGAGGGAGGCACGCCAGCCAGGTACTTAGCCAGAGCCATCTACATTGCTCTAGAATTTTAAACGGTATAATATTTAAATTGTATTAAAATTATCTCTATAAACCAACTACTTGTGGTGCCTTCCAAGTATCTTTCATCATCCTTCAAAACCCCTCTATGGTTACAAGTTGTTATGGCTTTTTCTTTTCTTTTCTTACTTCTTTTAGGATCAATTCTGAGTTTATATTTTGCTCACTATCACTCATTTCCCCTGCATTTTCCAGAAGTTTTAATGCCATGTACACTTTCCGTCCCCGCAATCTTCTCTCTCCCTACCTCTGTGAGCTCCCAACCCAAGAATCTGAAGCTTCTCTGCTGCCAAAGCCAATGGACACTTTCTTCATCTTTCCAGGCCTCTTGGTGGCACTTCCCAACCTTCAGTTTCTGTGACCACCAACCCTGTCCCACTGTTGAGAATCACTGCACTGAGAACTAAAGTCTCCAGTTCAATGCCAACTCTAATTCTGTTAGTCCCCCAGGACTAACTTCGCCACCTACAGGAGCAAGTCTGGACCCCTCAGTGCAACCCTCATGAACCCCAAAGTCAAACCCTCTCCTCCAACAACACCTGCACTGTACACTTCTCTGTTTGGTTTCTGAACCCAATCTGGCTGTTGGCCCCTATGCACATGGAGACCCTCATATCCCATAGAGTGTTGCTCCTTAAGGTCTAGCTGTGATGTTCACATCTACCTGCCCTGCCTCTGCTGCAGCTCGTCACGGGCAGGCAGAGGTTATAATCACAGGACCTCCCGAGAGGCATCACGCAGTCCACCTACAGGATCTAGGGAGGGCACCTGTGGCCACTCACCCTGCGGTTCCGGTTGTGATCCATGGTCTTGAGGTGTTTCTGGATGATCCCAAACTGCATGGGGATGAAGAGGTCACAGGCTGCACAGTGGGCTGCCTCCACCTTCTTCACAAAATGCTCCATGGCAATTTCTGTAGGGGAGACAAGAAGGGAGTTGCCACTGGTTCCTGGTACCTAAGACAGACCCAGAAGTTTGGGAAAAGAACTACATCAGCTTCTCAACTTGCCCTGCCACTTCCATGTGGGCGTGAGACTATTCTCACTAACCTTCCCTGGGGAACAGAAGGGTGTGGTGACCCTGCACTGAGAACCAGAGGAGGGCAGGCCGAGACCCTGCCCTGGTGGGAGTGGGATAGAACCTCCTCACCTTGGGTCAGATCCTGGTCTCTGTAGATCTGCTGGATCAGACCGTCGAGATCCTCCACAGTTTTTCGGAGCTCCTCTGTCTTCTTAGTCTTATTGGTGACATACTCCTGCCAGAGACATCAAGGTTCATGTGGGCTGCCCTATGTTCCGAGGGGCCTGAAAAACTAAAAGCAGCTGTGCTGCTCCAAGGCTTACCTGCAGAAAGTCGGCCGTCTGCTTAGGGAGCTTGGTGCCTACGTACTTAAAGTGCTCCTTGTGGAACTTGCTGTCAAGGTGGCTGGCCATCTCATCCTCATAGAAAGTCCGGTATTTGCAGAGAGAACACACAAACTGGATCCTGCCACAGGAAAGAAACAAGGGGCTGAGGCTGTGAGGGTCCTGGGGGACAGTGCTGCTGCCTCACCCAACCCAGATGCAAGCCCTCAAACAGGCCTTGCTCGTGGGCCTCTGAAGTACAGTCCCAGCAGAGGGACACAGGCTGGGACCAGTGGGGTCGGGAGTAGAAAGGGACAGAAAGTCTGCAGGCTGCAGTTTCTGCAACGTGGGGGACAGGGGAGGAGCTCTTCCTTCCCACAGGCAGGAGGCTGAAGCCCGAGGCAGCTGCTGCTGCAACAGGCAAGGAGTCGCTGGAAAGTTGCCGGAGGGCCTCTCTACCAAGGCTGGGCAGGAGCTTGTGCACTTGGCCCAGCTGGGGACCGGAAGGAAGGATGCCCTGGCGTGAGCCAGGTGGCCCTGAGGTGCAGAGTGGAGTACGCAGTCCCGAGGCAGGGCCCGAAAAGGTGCTGCATCTTCCTTCTGGGGTCTGGGGGACTCAAAGGCCCAGCCCATCCTCTGCTCAGAATGCTTGGGGGTGGTGTCGGGAGGGATGGGAGGCGAGCAGGCCTGGGCACCTGCTGCCTCGTCTTCCTCTTCCAAGAAGAGACCAGTCTGAGCTGGAAGGAGGGCGCCCGCCCGGCCTGCCAGAGGGCAGACTGGAGTCACCTGGGCGAGGTGCTCTGTCTGGGCCTGGTGTCCACAGCAGAAGCCCGGGGTCTGGGGCCTGGGCTGGAGCAGGCCGCCGTGGCAAGGGGCGGAGGAGGCCAGCCGCCACCGAGGCCTCGGGGCAGGTCCCTACCTCTGCCGGACGTCCTTATCTGGGCCACGGGGTCAGCTTTGTCTGGAGAGCCCAGGGGCCGGGCGCCGGCGAGGCTGAGGAAGGTCCAGCAAGAGCAAGAGTCTGAGGCGGAGGAGGAGGAGGCAAGCGCCAGTGCGGGAGCCCTGAGGGCAGACAGACCCGACCAAGGGGCGTGAAGGACTCAGCCGCAGACAGGCCCGGCCTGACAGGGCCGGCGGGCAGGGCAGAGGGCAGGCCCGAGGCTGCCACAGCCCACAGGTGCTGCCATCTCTCCTGGGCACGGCGGCGGCCTCTTGGCAGCTAGCTGGGGCAGCACAGGCGCCTTGGACCTTGAGTCTCTGATGAGCTGGCCCCCTCCCTCAGGGGCATCGGGCCCCCTGTGCACCTCGGGACTCGTGCGCCGAGTGACCTAGCGCCGGAGCTTCTGAGCAACGGTGCCGAGCTGTGTCGGGTCTCAGGCCACAGATGCCAGCGGTCGCCAGGCGGCCACAGAGGGGCAGGGGACGAGTCAGGCCTTGGGAGCTGGGCCTGGCGGGAAGCAGGGTCCATGCACGGCCGAGCAGGTGGCGGCTCCCAAGGGAGGCCAGAGGGCGGCGAGATGGCAGAGCTATGGCCCTGCTCTCCTGGCGGCAGCCCCAGAGCGAGGCAGAGGCAGAGGGGTGGAGGGAAGCTCGTTACCTTTCCACCATTCGGTCTCGCTGCCGCTTTTTCTGCTTATCCTGGCTCTTCTTGCCTGCCTGCAACTTGCGCTTGGCCTGGCCATTCTCATCCTGGGTGGTCAGGGCCCCTGTGGGAACAGATGGGCACAGTCACCAGCTTGGCTGTGCCAGGACAGGGCAGGCCCTGTGGCCTCTGGCTGAATCGCCCGCCGTCCGCTCCAGAGGGTCCATCTGAGAGCAGCTGTCCAAGTGAGGCCTCTGGCCACGAGCAGGGTTGGGTACCCTGGGCTGGGCAGGGAGTGGGTTTGGCCTAGGCCCTGAGGAGGGAGGGCCAGCTGCTGACCCCTTTGTTCTCCAGAACACCCACTCTCTGCACTGTGGGCCAGGAGGAGGCTGGAAAGCAAAGAGAGGCTATCTCGGTGGGGACACTGGCATATGTTTATCGGGGCTGGATGGTGGGATGCAGGGAGGCCGCTCACATGGCCCTGCCCACCCCCCACCGGGCAACGTGGCAACAGTGGGCTGAGGCTCGATTTACTATTAGGTACCTGCTGACGCTCATCACTCAGGTGGGGGGACACGGACTCCCAACAGGGGCTGGAGAGGCGCTAAGGGAGAGGACACGCAAACCACAGCCGTAAAAACTGCACCAAGGGTCCCAGCTTGGACACCAGCCACTGAGGACTCGGAAGTGCACGTTACTGAGGGACCGAGGGCAGGGGCGGGAAGCAGGGTCCATGCACGGCCAAGCTGGTGACTGTGCCCGTCTGTTCCCAGAGGGGCCCCGACCACCCAGGATGAGAACAGCCAGGGGTTCCCCACACTTTTGCTTGCTGCCTCCACTTGAAGGCAAAACCAGTGTGCTAGGCAGGGGCCACCACAATCCACTGCCTCTGCCTGGGAAAAACAGGCACAGAGTGGGAAGGAGGAAGAGGAGGAAGAGCCCCCTGCCAGCACATACCCAGCCCCACAAGGGAGGCCCCCAGCAGGGCGCCTATCTGCCACAACCCTGCCCTCAGCCAGATCCCTCCTGCTGCAAGCAGCTGGCAGAGCCATCCCAGCACCCAGACCCCTGGAAGACTCACCCTTCTCTAGGTCCTCTCGGCCTTCTTCTCTCCCGTCCTCTCTTCCCTCTTCGTCCTCTCCTTCCTAACACACAATTTCAAAATGCAATTTTAAAACATATGCAGTTATTTATAATGGCTCTAAATGACAAGGCCCAGCCATGTGCCAGGAGTCTCATATCCTCCCACCACTCAGCACAAAGGGCCCACCCCTCCATTTTCCCCTAAGGAAACCGTGCCTCTGGCTAGGCAGCCTGTGCTTCCTACCAGACCGCACTGCCCCTGTGTGGGGCCTGTGTGCACCATACCACCCCAGCACTGTGGCCCATGGAGAGCACTGTTCTTCAGCATAGCTCGGTCTCCACAGGCCCCCCTGCAGAAAGGAAGTGCCCAGGGCCAGGGGCCACTTACTGCTCTGGAGCCCTTCTCCATAGCCTCGGCACCTTCAGTGCCTTCTGCAGCTTCGCCCTCGGTGCCCTCATCTGCAAGGGGAGAGGAGGCAAGTTCAGCCCAGGAGCCTCAAAGGGAAGCGGGGCAGTGTCCCAGCACCACCCTGGCTCACCATTGTCTGAATCGCTGTTGTCTGAGCAGTCCGTCCGGGTGGCTTTGCTGTCCGGCTCATCAGGACTGCCACTCTGCTTTCTCTTCTTCTTCTTGGTCTGGGTCACAAAGTGAGGGCTGGGTCAGGATGGGGGGCTCCTGGCCCTTCACTCCACTCTAGTCAGGGGCCAGCAGAGGAAGACCGCCTCCACTCACCCGGAAGTCAGCCGTGGTCCAGGTCTTCCAGGTCCGCCTCATCTGCTTCATGCCATTGCCAAACCCGAAGCCAAAGCGGGAGCCGCCCGGGAAGGCGCCCCCACCTCGCATGCCCTGGAACATGCCGTACTCGGGGATGATGTTTTGGGAGAAGAGGGAGGGCAGCCGGGAGGCACCAGACATGCACTGGCCCCGGGCCCCCATGGGGTCTTCCCACATGCGCCCATAGCCCGAGGCCATCGGCCGGCTGCTCCGGGCATCCCGGGCCCAGCCCTGAGCCCTTGGACCGAAGGTGTCGCCGCCACGCACGCGGAACTGGTCACGGTAGGCATCATACTGGCCCTCATAGGCCATTTCCATCTCAGGGTCAAGCTCGCCATAGTCATAGCCTGACCGGTACAGGTCGCGCTCGCTCAGGACAGCCCTCGAGTCACAGGCCTCGTAGGAGTCATATCTGCAGAGGCACAAGGGAGCATCAGGTGGGGCCCCCTCAAGGTCCTCACCTCCAGGCTTCTGCTCCTGCCCCCCCCAGAAACTCCCAGTCCCGGAGCAAGAAGCCCAGCCTGGCACCCACCCTGCCCTTTCAGGGAGGCTCTATGTTCCAAGCTGCCAGGTCAAAGGTTCTAGCCTCTCAGGAGCAGAGAGATCTAGAAGCAGGAAGGGCCCCCCGGATGATGTCCTCATAGGGGCCCCACTGGCCCAAGCTTGAATATAACCACATACCAGCTTGGGGACCCTAACGAAGACTGACAACAGCTCCAGTCCAGTGAGTCACAACGAAGGGCAGAGCCACTCCCACCATGGCCCTTTGAAAACATGCACCAACCATGGTAGCCACAACACCCAAGGCTGCTCCTTGCGGGGCAGGGACCAGCACCTCCACACCATGCAGGACATGGGCAGTCCACCACAGTGAATGTTTGGCCAATGAGGCTGATAATGCCCATGAGAAACATTGTGTTGGTCTCACTCCTCATGGCTGGAGGAACCCAAACCCTCCAAAGCCCCTCACCATCTAAAAAGAAGTGAAACAAAACGGGGAGTGTTCCCCAGGAAAGACACTGACAGCTTGCTCAGAGACCAGAGAAAAAGCTGTATCACATCTACCGCGGAGCCCAGGGCTGGACACCAAACCTTATATAGCCACTGGGAAAGCAGGCCAGACCTCCTGCCTGGGAAAGGGCACTGCAGAGAGCCGTTTTCACTGCGCTGTAGCCCACACACCCCCAGGCCCCGACCCCACATGCCTCACAGGCACAAGGGCCCCTCCCTGCACCCTATTCCCCAGACCTGGGCCACGGGAGGCAGCACCAGCTGTGAGAGCAGCAGCCAGTGCTGCCACTGCTCCCCTCGCCTCTGACCCTGGCTCTAGGCTGTGACGAGAAGTTGCCCAAGCCCTTCACACTAAGCCTTCGGGCTCCAAGCGCTGCAGCTGTTGGTCCAGGGGCACAGAGGCCCATGCCAGCGAGTCCCCTTGTGTCCCTCCCTCTCATTCAGTGCAGCCCTGGGGCCTCACCTGGCTCCACCAGTGCCCAGCCAGGCCCTCCCTACTCTCTGGTCTCTGTCATGTGTTGACCAGAGCTCCACTCCATCCCATGCTAGAGATACGTATCCTCTCCTCATTGAAGCCTCTCACCAGGGCCAATGCCAGTTTAGTTAATGGCAAACACCCACAGTGTGATGCTTTGCAAGGCCCAGCCCTACCCCTTACTGGGTGTGACCTGCCTGCACTTCAGTTTCCCCATCTGTAAAATGAGGGCAGCAGCAGGTCCTCACAGGGGCACGTTTGTAAGGCACAGGAATGGCCAGGAAGTGTCCACATCTGCCCCGTCCCTCACATGGGGATGGCCCAGCTCATAGTGATCAGCCCCAAAGGCTGGTCCCACCCTTTACACCAAACTCAATCTGTCCTGCCCTGACACCAAGCAGGAAGCAAAGTCTTGAGAGAACTTCAAATGCATTTCCAGGAGGGAGGGGCCACTAAGCACTCTGTTCTTGAGGAGGCATCCTGAGGGTGGGTACAGTGACGTCAGCCCAATCCGGGCTTGCTCCTCCGCCTGCAAGCTGGGGAGAGGTGCCACTAAGCAGCAGGGCAGGGGTTGGGGGTGGGTGAGAGGAGACAGGTCAGAGAACGGAAGTGCAATGGACCTTGTCGGGAGCCCCAGCAGGAGCAAGCGCGGGGGGAAAAGGCAGACACGGAGGCGCGTTCAGAAAGGCGGGAGCCACCCATGTAGAGCCGCTGCCCTCAGGCAGGCTCCCACTCACCTTTCTCCTCCTGAGCCGTACACGCCTCCTTGTATCATGTCTGTCTCCAAGTGCGGCACCATATCTAAGCGCTGGTTAATTCTGGATAAAACGGAATCGGCACTGGCGCTACCCGAGGCACTAGGGTTTGCATTTGTGTCAGAGCTAGGCATTTCCCAAGAGTGTGAAGAGGCCATACCATACCCATAGTTGGTGGTGTTATCCTGGCCATAGCCATAGCCATAGCCATAGCCTTCATAGCCTGCAGTGAGGGAGACATAGAGACAGACAGATGGTGGGCGGGGGCCGGGAGGGGGTAGGCAGAGATGAGGAGACAAACACAGAAACAAGGTATCTTCTCTGTCACAGAGACAAGCTGGGAACCCTGGCCACCCGAGGCTGGCTGGGCCTTAGCCATTCTGATAAGGGTCTCCTGTGAAGGAGCAGCTGGCCCCAGGGACACCCAAAGCCCCCCACCCCCAACCCTGGCCAAGCTGGGCAGTGGCAGAGAAACATAATCAGTACAACCCCAAGGGAGAGCAGAGCAAGCAGAGCAATGATACTTGCCTCTGTTTGTCCCAGAGTTCCAAGTTCCATACCCTACAAAAAGTAAAAGGGCAATTACATCTACAGTTGCTTTCAACACAAGAGCTTAATTCAGGCACAAGTGAAGATAATTATTCCCAGCACCTGACTGATCACATCAGCCTGTAGCTCCCTAACTGAGAAGCCTTGAGCTTGAGAGTGAGCACGATGCAAATGACCCAGGCCACTTGCTGCCCTGGTGCTCGGCCTTCTGTGGCTTTGAGCATCTGTTATTAAGGAGCCTCCTGTTCCCAATGCTCTCAGCTAACACACTTGGCTCCTATACTCTTCCCTTAAAGAGCCAGAATTAGAAGATGACATTCCCTCCCCAGGCTAAGCACTAATCGTTTTACAGCACCTCAAGTAGACTCTCTTGTACAAGACACCTGGCAGAGTCCAAATTCATTCTGAAATCATGTCACCCAAATCACCCAACAAAGCCATCTGGGCCGGGCGCGGTGGCTCATGCCTGTAACCCTAGCACTCTGGGAGGCCGGGGCAGGTGGATCGTTTGAGGTCAGGAGTTTGAGACCAGCCTGCGGAAGAGCGAGACCCCGTCTCTACTAAAAATAGAAAGAAATTATCTGGACAACTATAAATATATATATAGTAAAAATCAGCCGGGCATGGTGGCGCATGCCTATAGTCCCAGCTGCTCGGGAGGCTGAGGCAGGAGGATCGCTTGAGCCCAGGAGTTTGAGGTTGCTGTGAGCTAGGCTGACGCCACGGCACTCTAGCCAGGGCAACAGAGCCAGACTGTCTCAAAAAAAAAAAAAAGAAAAAAAGCCATCTGGAGCAGCGAAACCGACCACCCAGACCCCAAATGTCTGCTTTAACAGGAAGGGGCAGCAAGCCTTTGAACTGTTGAGTGTGCTGTGCAGGAACACACCAGGGAGGGAAGGACAAGAAGCAACCCCTAGCATGAGAAAAACTGTTGAGCAAACAATCCGGATTATAAACTAAATATGCTCTGGATGTGATCGCAACACATGGTAATTCATTCCTTCAGGAACATAAAGCCACTGAGGACTGACAAAGTGCAAAGCCACGTGGGAACTCGGAGTCAACCAGACGCGGCTCCTCCCCAGAGGAGTGTGTGAGAACAGGCGACCACTCTCCCAGTGTCTCTGGTGAGACCCCCCAGTCACTTCCTATTCCGTGTCATCTCTGCCCTGCAGACAGGACCTGCTCATCCCAGGGAAGGGGACTAGCGCTCACTGAGAGGGCAGCGAAGATCCAGACCACAGGAGAACATGCGTGAGGAAACAAAGATAAACCAGAGGCATGCGAGAGCTCACAGGACAAGAATCCTTTTGGGCCAGGGAAACCAAAACAGAGGCTTCTCAGCCGTTTGTTTTTGCAACAGCTATCATCCTTGGAACACCCGGAGCAGAAGCTTGCAGTACCAGGCACAGCTCGGGCATGGAATGCTGCTTGTTGTTAAAGGAGAAGCTAATAACCAGAGAGCAGCATGGGACAGCCAGGAGCTGAAAGCCACCTGAGGAGAGAGTGGCTAAAGGAGCTGTGCTGACCAGCAGGAAGAGAGGCTGATGGCCACACAAGGAACAACGCACAGTTGGCCCCAGCAGCGCTGCCCATGTGGCTGTTTGCACCAGCGACAGTGGACAGCAGCTATTCAAAAGGAGACAAGATGGGAGGCACAGGCAGACCCATCGGGGCTCTGCTTATTAGGCTACAGTATGGTCATCCCAGGTTCAGCTGCCGAGGATCTACAGAGGGAGTGAGGAGGCACAAGGAAAGTAGGAGTGGGAACCAACTCTGACAGCACCACTTTATGTTTCCAGGACAGGCAAGTGGCCTCCTGTGACTGGCAAGCTGTCACGAGTCCCTTCGGGCAACACTCTCTACGTGCTACTTGCTAAGCCAGGAGTAACCCAGACTTCTTGATGAACTCCCGAGTCAAGTCCCTTAAGGAGGAAGCCTTTGTCTAGACTGGAGTTTGGGGACTTGCAGAGACCTGCTCCTTCTGAAAGAACATCCCAACTCACTCACTTCCAGACTCAGAGGGGACGATGGGATCATGGTTCAAAAGGGAATTTTAAGGATCTTTAAAGAAAGAAAGAAAAAAGGAGACGGTCACTATAAGCGATACCTATAGAGCAAAAATAGAAAACAAATTAAATGTTCAGCTTTGAGGTACTAGTTAATCAGATTACAGCCTACCTATTCATATCAGTAAGATACCGTTTAAGCACCAAAAAGAATTTATTATGCCTTATGTAGCACAGGGAAATGCTTCTAACATAACAAAAGAAAGCAGGATACACAATTCTAACCATCTGCAAATTATTCAACTATATAAAATAGGTAAGCTGACAAAGATTAAACATTAAAAAGGCAGGATCTTGGCTGACTGGTTTTCAAAATGTTATTTAAATGTTGTTATATTGTTCCTGCAATTTAAGCCAGAGTAAAAATAAAACTATTCCTACTCTTTCACAATTGTCTATGTAAAAAAACTCAGATCTACAAAAGAGCTAGTAGAATAAGTAAGCTTGGCATGGTTTATTACAAGGTCAATCTACAAATCAAATTCCAAATGTTACCAGGTCAAAATACACAACAAATGGCAATCAAATTTCTACATATTAGTAATGAATGACTAGAAACTGAAATTTTTAAAAAGTACCATTTACCACAGCACTAAAAACATAACACTTAGGAGTACTTTTTTTTTTTTTTTTTTAAAGAGACAAGGTCTCACACTGTCACCCAAACTGGAGCGCAGTGGAGGGATCATAGCTCACTACATCCTTGACCTCCTGGGCTCAAGGAATCTTCTCCTGCCTCAGCTTCCTGAGTGGCTGGGACTACAGGTATGCTCCACCACACCCACTAATTTTTTTAGTTTTTGGGTTTTTTAGTAGAGATGTGGTCTTGCTATGTTGTCTAGGCTGGTCTAGAACTCTTGGCCTCAAGCGACCTTCCCACCTAGGCCTCCCAAAGTGCTGGGATTACAGGTATCAGCCACCATGCCTGACCCTTAGGTGTAAATCTAACAAAATGTGTGTGGGATCTGTGTGCTGAAAACTGTAACATTAATGAAAGAAATCAAAAACCTACATAAGCGGAGTGACATAATGTGGTCATGGATCATAAGACTTGATATTGTTAAGATGTTACCACTGAAGACCACATA